CGGGGCCTCAGGCCAGCGTGCGGGCGGGCCTGACCTGCCGGGTCCCTTTGGCTTCGGGGTTGTTGCGGTTTGGTTTTTCAGTCAGCGGTAACCTTGGCGTTTGCGTTGCCTGTTGTTCAGTTGGGAGCTGAGAACGCGGACAGCATCGGTGCAGTGCTGAACAGCAAAGATGACCAGCGGGAGATCGCAGAGACAAGAGAAACGTGCAGGTCGGTGTGCCGGGTCTCTGGGAAATTGGTTTCGTTTAACTGTAATGCAAGCCCTTGAAATAGGAAGAGATTGCTTTCCAGAGAGCAAAGTAAAATCCTGCAGTTTGTTTGAAAGCATACACTTCAGTGAAAGAAAGTTTCGTAATTGCTCAAATGTGAACTTTGAATAAAAGTGAGTAGGGTTTAGTCATTAGTTTCTAGTAGCAGTTTCAAATCGAGGCTAACTTTTGATTCCTATGTTAAAAAGTTAGTGTGGAGCAAAACTGCGGCGTGAATTGAGAGCATGCCATCTGCATTGCCCTAGAGCCTTTGTACTGCTGAGAGCAGTTACAGGGCAATTTAGTGCAAAAGGTCTGATGGAACAGGAGATGTGTCTAGCATAGAGTACTGCTTATTGATTCTCGTGTAACAGTGATGTTCTTGTATGAGCAGGTTTAACTTTGTGTAAATACTGCTTTGGTTAAAATAAGCTGTACCTTTCAGAGCAGAGAAATGAGGAAGCACCTGTCTGCTTTCAGGAGTCCTGTCCTTAAGAAGTTGTGCTGATCTCAAATGTACAGAGAGGAACAACTTTTCATATACAGAGTTTCAAAATAATGTCAAACTTTAGCAGAAACATGTAGTCAAGGCAGATTATCAGAGATTTCTGAAATGTTCTTCCCGGAGAGAGAAACTGTTTTATCTGAGGGGATTTTTTTTATGTTTGTAGGGCTGCTTATGATACTTCTGCACCAAATGCAAAACGGAAATACCCAGATGAGGGGGAAGCTGATGAGGAAGAGATTGAAGAATATAAGGTAAGAAAAAGGAAAAAGTGACTTCTCTGGGTTTTTCTTGTGTCTCTGAGGGACATAGAAAATAGATATGTGCATAAATAAAAACAAATGCAATGTGCATAGACGCTTTAAAATAGATGTCCCTCAATGGCATCTCCCTTGATGCAAAGATCTAAGAGAGGGCGTATAGACGCTTAGCGGTTCTCTGCAGATGTGGCTTAGGTGCATTGAGCTCTGTGCTCACTGGAACCCAATGTTTGGAGGCTTAATTTAGTGGTGCTCCTAGTAGGAGGTAGACTTAGGTGCTAATGCCCACAGGGAATGGCAGTGTGCTATGGCTGGTTGTCTTGTGTGGGAAGAAGTGGTAAAATGCGTGTGTGCTTGGGTACACAAAGCAAAAATACGTCAGCTAGAATTTCTGTGGGTCAGAAGAAAAGCTTGCATTTGGCAAGAGGTACAGGCCATTGGATGAGATATGGGGAGCCCGAGGGTGTCCTCCAACCTGCCTGTTAAGTGCAAAGGAATGCAGTTTGGGATGAATAGAAGAAATAAGGGATTCAAAGGCAATGGAAGTAAGAGGCTTGGTTTGGGGTATGCTTTAAGTCTCCAAAATATCCAGGAAAAGTTCCGTTTAAAAAACTAAAGCAAAACGCCTCCGTGGTCATTGAAGAATGAGTGGTTGTCAAAGTCTCATGCCCTTCATTTTTCAAATGCTTATCCAAGAGCTATTTGACAGCTCTCCTGTTTCATGTCTAATGTGCTGTTTTGGCTAAGATGAGTGATAGAGAAAGGAGGTTAAACAAAAGCGCAATTATAATACAGCTGTCTTTCTGATTTTCTGTGTGATCTTGGTGCAGCATATATCCTCCCTCTCCCTTTTGTTCTTTTCCTGCTAACCTTGCTTCTGGGGTTATGTAGAATCAAGGTCAGTGCATTTATGAAATCATGCAGCATCTGTTGTTCTCTTGGATGCCTAAAGAGTGATTTTTGAAATGTAAGGCCTTGGTAGTTTTATGTTTGTGTTCAGGTTTATAAATCTTTCAGTAATAATGTCTATCGTACCAAACCAAAAAGTTAATGTATGACATGGCATTTTTTGATGGCAAATTTTTAAAGTCTATCCGTAAATGGACAGACATTCTTTTTAACATGCAAGTGTTAGTCTGTACATCTTGTTTAGCAAACCAATTAAGTCACCACCTCAAAGGATTTAGAGAGTACAAGTGCTATTTATGAAGTGGCATTTTTATGCTCACATTAGTGATCAGTTTGTGTCAGTCCATTTTACTCCATCACCAATTATGTGGTTAAGGAACTAATTTTTTTTTCCTGTGAAATATATATGTATGAGTCACTTAAGTTGTCAAAGCATATGAGTCTTATGTTCTCCATTAGCATGGAGAAGACTTACTCCTGAGTTGGGCTCTGACCACTTGCATGTGGCCAGACTCTTGCTGTATTATCAAAATTGAAGAATATTTTAATAATACTATCTTGGACCAACTTCAGTTGAGCAGGTGAATAGATTTAAGAAATTTGAAACCCCCAAGTAGAACATCTGTAGTGGAGCCATCAGCTGTGTTCTGCAGATGTTGCTAATTCCCTTTTGGCAAGGAGATAAGAACTTAGTAAAATCCTATCTGTATTTATGTAACTTTTTCATTAGTACTTTGAGCCTGTTTAAATTTAGTCTTGTAATATGAACTGTTATAAAAATCTAGATCCTTATGGTATCCAGCCCTATTGGATGGTGTTTAATACTCCTTAGATAAAAGTAAGACTTAACCATTAGTGTTACAGACAATATGTTTGTCAGTTCTGTTAGGAAAAATAGAAGCAAATATTTCTGATGTAAAGGACTCATATGTCTCTCAAACCCTGACTTGCAGTGTTGTTGGGTTCTATGTGATGATGGTATCACTTAGTCCTTCTGAAGTGGTTTAAAATTCTTCTGAAGTGCCCTGACTTTGTATTTGGTGGAAATTAATGTGTCCTCAAACATCAGCTGCTGTCGGTGGAGCCTGAGCATCTAGCTGTGATTGCTGGTGAAGATGGGTTACTGTGAAGATACAACATTGTTACTGCGATGCAGTGTGATGGCACAAGATCTGCAGGGGTAGAGTGTGTGGAAGTGGGCATGAAACCTTTAAACAAATGTAGTTGGATATTTTAGAGGATTTGTGTCAGTTTCTAGTGTTCCAAATGGAAAGTGAAGTGAGCTGTTGGCACCTAAATGCCTTATGCTGATGTTTTGAGAGAAGGCTGAACAGTGACTTTTCCGTTATAGGGGGAAGTGTGAGAGCAGGTTTTGATGAAAGCTGAAGTGTGTTATCTCAGCCATCATCTGATGCAAAAATAATGGTATTTTTTATTTTTTGTTTTTGTGGATTTGGGTTTTTTTGGTAGAATAAGTATAAATTTATAGTAATGGTTCTTAATAGTCATCAGGCTGATATGAAAATAAAGGGCAACAAGGCTCCATGTTAAAGCTTCCCAAGGGCAGGTTGACTTCTGTCTTGGAGCCTGATTCTGCATTGCAAACCACAGAGGTGGGAGATACGGGAAGAGATGTTACTGGCAAAAGGAATAATGGATATTTTAAGATCGGAAAGTTAAATTGTAGTTCTAAAGACCACCTGTAATCCTCTTGTTCTTGTGGAGCTATAACAGTTGTGCGAGGGTTAGTTGAACTCCCTGGTCTGTATTTGGAGGTGACAGGCGATGGGACTAGACTATCTACTGCTACTTCAAGGCTTTTCATAGCCTCCTGAGAGTTGTGATTGCTGCTCCACCTTTCTCCTTCCCTGTGTAAATTTAGTCAATTGTTTGAACCTGTATAAGTGTCTGGCATCAACAGCATTTTGTGGCAAATTATTCCAGAGTTTTAACTTTGTGTGAAGTACAAAAATACCTGTGGTTCAAATTTGCTGTCTCCCAGCCTGATTTGATACAGCCGTTTTTTACTTTGTTTCTCCAAGCCGTGGTCTGCGAGCTTGGAATGCTTCCATGCCGTTGTTCTGGGGGATGAAAAAAATCTTGGTTGAATCATCATAAATGCTTAGTATATCTCTAGCAATTTGAAAAAAATAAGTGCTGTGGGTAGTTTTTGTTTCCCTAACTCAGCATCAATATACCAGATTTGGGAAACAAGGATGATTAATGCACAAGAACCCTAGTATCTTGTATTATTTCTTGTATTATTGTTAATTTCTTTCTGCCTCTGCTTTGACTGTGTCCTTTCCCCTTTGAAAGCTGGTGCTCTGGGTTTTTTGGTTGTGATCCCAAGACTTTTTTTTTTTAATCACTTATTATTAAAGAGAACTGGGATGACTCGGAAGTAGGTATCTAACAGGTGCTTATCATCAGAAGGCTAAGATTCAGAGGAAGGTGGAAGAGTGGAAACAGGTGTACGCTTACAACAACATAAGCAGTTTTCAGTAAAACTGCAGCTTTCAGCTTTTTTGCCTGGTAACACTTGCTGCTCTTTGTCTGCTGTTCATTCCTTTTCCTTGTAAACACAGTTGCTATTTCTGATAGTAATCTTTCTCTTTTCAGTGTGGTTAAACAACAACAAAAAGACTGTATCTGTAAGTTCTCTACCTGAATAATGGGGGGGTGTGAAATCTGTGATCTGTTAATCACAGCAGGCATTGCAGAAGTTGGTTCAAAGCTCCAGTTTGGATAGGACACAGACCTTATTTTAAGATTTCAACAGCTAGAGGGATCAAAATAGAGAGAACACTTAATTTTTCATTCTGCATTCAGACAGCTTATGTAGCATAGGGTAAATGCTGCAGTAATAATAGCTGCTTCTCTGCATCTTTTGACTTAAGATGTGTTTCTCGGGTGGGAGAAGTTGAATTCTTTTCTATGAGAAATCTGGTTCTCCATCTTTCATTTTATTTCCATGTGTTAAAATGTCTTTTTTTTTTAGTATTTCAGCCTTGAGACTGCTTTTCTCCTCACATGAAGCACTATATTAACTCATTAAGATTTCCATTGTAATCAGTAATGTATGAAAGAGTACACATCCTGCTAAAATATGGTAGATGATACTGTTTAGTGGTTCTTCAGCTTTATTTATATATAATATATATACTGGGTTGTTCCAGGATCAGTGGGAATACAGAAAGAGAGATGAAGAAGCAAGTCTCTTTTTTGTTTCTGTTCAGAATATGTCAGTGTGACAGATCTCTGAATTCCAGAAATCTGATGAACGAATGGTTGGTGACACAATAATTGGAGAAAAAATGGCCATAAAATTTCTGTTTGCTGTAAATTTTGAGACAAAATGGGGATTTTAAAGTTACTTTTAGGAGCAGTCCAGAGGAAATACTGGCCTGTACCATGGGCTGTTTGTGCCAAGTGTGGACGTTGAACAGATTTATATAGAGAAGATGGTTTCACCTGCTAAGGTTGGAACATAAGAGGTGTTTCAGGGGATATAAATGTTCAAAGGTTCTACTACAGAAGAACATCAACAAAATATATCATTTGCTTTAGTGCAAGGAGTTAAATGGGGTTGGGGGAGAGGGCAAAAAATAAAAGTTCGACACCTTGTAAAGCACTGCCTACACTGTCAGGATCTAGAAATGAAGAGTTTCTTATTTTATTCTTCTTTCAGAGGCCTTTCCCAGTAACACTCTCCTCATTAATAACAGTGAGGCAGACCTTTCTGGGAATAGGTAATTTTTTTTCTGCTCCAAAACTCGGTTGGGAACCGTTCAGGACCTGCTGTTTCAGGAGACTTATGGTTGTAGACAGCCCACGTCTTTCCTTAAGACACAGAACCATAATGAGGAGAGAAACAGCATGATCGTTCATACTTATATCTGCTTTATTTTCAAGGATGAAGTAGAGCTGCAGCAAGATGAAGAGAACCTGCCTTATGAAGAAGAGATTTACAAAGATTCCAGTACCTTTCTTAAGGTGAGCTGCTTTTGCAATTAGAAGTCTAGTCAAAGCTGGCATACTTGTGTTAAACTATTTCTGCAGTTGATGCTGTTCAAAATACAGCTTTAAAGGCTGAAGTAATTAACTGGAATTTGCAAGTATGGAAGTGTCTTGTGAAAGATATGACTGTAATTAGTGCTTACATTGATCTGACTAAAGATCTGGGGAAACGTACAAGGAGCTGTAGTAAAGGTGGGCCTGATGTGGAACTAAAAACAACGACAGTCTTGATTAGTTTAGCTTGTGAAGGCATGTTGAAAAGAAGAAAAAAATCTGTTACTTTATTTATCAGACTAACACATGTAGTGTGTGTGCGTGTGTCCAGTTATCTCTCTCCATTGCTTGCACTGAAATCCCTTTTGTTCTCTAGGGTACTCAGAGCTTAAATCCACACAACGATTACTGCCAACACTTTGTGGATACAGGACACAGACCCCAGAACTTCATCAGAGATGTTGGTATGTCATTCTCAGTAACTGTTCGAAGATAACTCATTTTATTCGATAACACTTCTTTTTCTTCCCCTTTTAATTCCTTACAGTTACTGGGAAATGTAGATAGATACTCTCATACTTCATAGTTTTATCTCTCTATGTGGGTTCATGTCAATATATACATTTATATGAATGATTTTATTTTTAATCAGTTAGGAGATTATTATTACCAAGGCTGCTCTTACTCTTGGTTTTATTTGAAAGTATTTAATTTTTCAAAAGAAAGCTGCTCTTGTTCCAGAAAGTAGATGAGTCTAGTGAGCAGATCTTGAAACCGTTGGAAACTTGATAACTGACTTACAGTTCGGTTGTTTCCTGGACTGTATTACCTCCAAGAGTGCATGTAGCATGTAAAGTGTGGCAAATACTTAAATATAAGTCAATAGAGGCAACATGGATAATATTTACAAGCTAAATTATGTAGCTGCTGACAACTCACTAGAAGGCCCAACATATTATTGTGCTTACAGGATGTTATTTTCTTAAGTTTATGTTTATCCAGCTATCACTGGACTTGTTATTGAAATCTTTATTAGGCCTGAATTTAATCTTTCTAAAACTAAGGTACAGTTTGGTCTTGTTTCCCAGAATGGGTGCCTGGTAGTTACTTGGTTTTTAAAAAGAGCAGGACACTTGCCTGTGAAGTTTTCTGCAACAGTTCCCTGTATTTTTTCAAGTTTAAGATTGTCAGGGTAAGTGTGTTGTGTTTATAGATGCCAACCCAAAGAGATTTTGTTTGCTTTTTGAGGCAGTTTGTTTGTTTCTTCTCTTTATTTTGTGAATGCTTCTGTGAAACATATCTGGATGTTTAGTATGAAAAACTCAGTTCTGACTCAGTTATGTCTTTATCTGAAAACAGTGTATAACTATTTCGAGTAGTGTGAACCCCAGATGCTGACAGTACTTGAAATAGTTATACGCTGTTCGTTGAAATGAGGTAAGTATGAAGAAATAGCAGCCCATGTTGTTTAGTCTGACTGCTGCAAAAAGAACTGGGAAGGAACAAGACAAATAGTTGAAGTGCTACTATGGAAATGAACGTGTCACAGCAGTTAGTCTAGACCCGTTATTAGAGATGAGGTGTGTCAAGTTGCGTATTGGTTAGCATACACTTTGTGCATGCAGATCAAAACTCCACTTAGGTGCTGCCTCGTAACTGGACACAATGCTACAAAAAGCTGTAGGGGAGTAGCAGTTCCAGAATAGCCAGTTATATCTTTTGGATGTTGCTGTTGGAAGAGAGAGAGAGATGTGGGGCTTGGTTTGGTTTTTTTAAAACAACTTAAGTCATCTTGAGTGAAAATTCTTTTACATCTGTTGCCTAGCTGCTGAAAACTGGCTTCCATTTTGGCTGGTCAGGAGTTTTTGACTTGCACTGACTAGAAGCAACAGAGCAGTGGAAATCAGAACATAGTGGTGTTTTTAAGATGTTACATACTTAAGGAAAAGAATGAAAATAACTTCTGGGGTTTTTATGCACATGTAATGAGAGATAATAAGGTTAGATATTAAGAACTTTTTTACCAGTGCCATGCTAGGGTTGGAAGTTCATAGTGTGAATTAAAATAAGGAGAGTGATGAAGGGTTGTGAGGTTTGTGGGTTTGGGTGTTTCCCCCCCCCCCATAGATTAGGACCATTTAAAGTTGTAAATTTAAATGAACATGAAGCTTTGCAAGTAACTCCTACTAAAGTTGAACTGATGCTGCTTGGGAGGCGGGAATGGTACCTTTTTGGTTTGTGCTGAGGCTACTGCTAGCAGTAACAAAACCACACTGACTTACTTTTTTGAAGCGGGAATGTAATATACTGAAAAGTCTGTTTTTTGTTCTTTAAAAAAAAAATGCTGCAGAAAACCTAATGAGGGTTCTCCCTTTTGCCTTCTTTATATATGAAAGGTTTGAAAATTAACATCATAAAGCTAAGTCTAGGAACCCAAAATATGCATCTGTTCAGATCTTCATGACTGACACCAAAGTACCAAATCTCAATATAAGGGTTACCTAAGGAAACCAGCCGCAACCCAGTTGCCACCTTAGAAATAGTCTTCAAAGGTTAAATAAGAGTATTCTGTAAATGGGTGTTAATTAGATCTTAATATAAACTTATGGATGAGGGGAGTAACAAAATAACTTTCAACATTTCAGCATCTTAGTTTAAATGAAAGATTGTTTCCTGATGATAAAAAAAGATGTGAACTCCTGATCATTGTAGTGCTCTAGAGAAGATTAGGGCATAGACACTGCATTCAGGAACAGCTGTCATGAACTGTGTGAGGGCAGTTGGTGAAGTACTGAACAAAAAACTGCTTTGAAGGGTTTGGTTTGTTCTTGCAAAAATTAAAATGAGGCTAAGTATTAACATTTGGACCTGTTCGGAATACTGGACAATGCTTAACTGATACAGATTTACTCTCTAAGTAGTTGTTAACTTCGTGTTTTCTTCTTCTTAGGCTTAGCAGATAGGTTTGAAGAATATCCAAAACTTAGAGAGCTCATCAGGTTGAAGGATGAGCTGATATCTAAATCTAACACTCCTCCCATGTAAGTGTTTTTGTGGAAAATGCCTTTCTTCTCCAGACCTGTTTGAAGTTAGCTGTCTGCTTTGCAAATCTCTATACTTAGCACCTGTTCAGGATTTACATTTTCTATTTCTGTTCGTATATACAAATTAACCAATTGAAACTTCAGAAGAATAAAATCAGCTTGGTTTTGTTAGTTTAATCTAGAAGTTTAATATAGCGTATAAACTAGATTTTCTTTCCAGTGTGTGATTATTTATAGTATCTAAAGCTTTGGTTATAAGACCGAACTGTCAACTGATTGGGGTGCCGGCTTTAATTTGGGAACTAAAAGAATATCTTATGATCATGAATCTTATGCTATCATGCAGGTTACAATAACAAGAAAAACTTTTAAAAATTGGCCTCTTCATATAACCTTAGTTGTGCTTGTAACAGCTTTTTTTGTATAACATTCAGCTATTATCGTAGTATCCATTAATCAGATGTTACTTTGTAGTTGAAGACCAAAAAAACCTTAGGCTGGCTGCAAGTTATTTGTCCTTTTAACTTCAAATTACCTCAGAGATTTTGCTGAACGTTAGACACAGTATGAGCATGCAGTGTGTTATTCCCGGGCATTTGAACTGATCTGAATGTGAACCTAATGCTTTTAATATACTGTAGTCCTAATCTGTACCCAGTAAAATGGCATTATCTCGTGATAGTCACATGAAAAACCCTGAAATAGTTGTCTGAACAACTGAGATACAAACTACAAAACTCAACTTGCTATTTTGAAGTTAGATGCGTTTTGGAATTCTTAGCCTTAAAGCACAAAAGGGAAAAAATTGTGATCAAATGCTGCCAACAAATGCTGATAACACCAAATACACCTATGGAATAATAATCCCTTCCAGACACTTGCTGAGGAAGGGGGTGTGTGTCTGATAATCAGCCTTTTTAAGGTTAAAGGTATTGAGGGGAGGGGAGGGTAGTTTTTTGGTAGTGATACAGCAATTACTGGTGGGCAGGTGTGGATGCCAGTCATAAGTGCATTTGAGTGTGTATTTGATAAAATCAATGTGTGGGGGAATTATGCTTTTGTTATAGGGATAGAGAAATACATTTCTACTGTATGGAAAGTAACCACATTTCCAGTATTCAGAATCTTCTGAACATAACATACAATAAATGGCAATTCTAAAAATATGCCACTTTCCTAAAATGAAGCAGAAGAGAAGTCTGTTAGCCAGGCAGTGAGTGTTTGCTTCTTAAATGTTGATGTTTTCTCCTATGTAGTCCATGAATGTACAGAAAGTTCAGTGATTCTGTACTAGATATTGTTGTACGTCCTGTGGGGGCATCTGCTCTCTGCTTGCTAAAGTAGAATCCTGAAAACTTTTTATTGAGAGAGAGACTGCTTTAAAAAAAAAAATCTAATGCAACAGCATCCAGTCTAGGTTAAATGAGAATACTTTACATCTCTCCTCTGGATTTAGTGCATTTCAGCTACGTGAACTAGACAGGAGACTCTGCTCTTAACTGGCTACGCAGAAGTGCTGTGTGAAGTCTAGTTTTCAGATTACTGTTATAAGTTCTCCAAGCAATCTGTCATCTTTTGTTTAAATAGGTACTTACAAGCAGACTTGGAAGCTTTTGATATTAGGGAACTGAAGTCCAAATTTGATGTGATTCTCCTGGAACCACCACTGGAAGAATACTACCGAGAGACTGGCATTACTGCCAATGAAAAATGCTGGACCTGGGATGATGTAAGATTTTTTTCTTGCTGTGAAAAAGATTTTATACATGCACATAAACAAGTAGATTGAGGACTTGATTTGGCATCAAAATGGTTTACAGATATCTTTTAAGGAAAATGGGATTTTTTTTTTTTTCAAGGAATCTCTAGGTTCTTAGAAAACCCAAGTTTGAGATCATATGCATGCTTACATTATTTGTTTTAAAAGACTTTTCTTTGAGGAGTTAAATGAATTAAATGTACCTTTTTGTTCTCCATGAGCCTGGTTGAAAACTTAAATGTAATAATAGTGAGTTTTCTCCCTACCCTAAATTCCATGAGTTTTCTTTCCTGTTTGGTTTTTGCTCTTGAAATTCAGAATATTCATTGTAAATATCCCCTTGTTTCTCAAAATTCTTGAAGAGATTTTTAAGGTATGCTTTTAATGCTCTAGTCTTTTAGTCAAAAGAACAGATCAGTATGCTTCACTCGCATACCTCCTTTCTCCAAAGTATTGATTAGGTAGGAAATTCTAACAGTCAAACCAATTGTAATCCTGAGAAGCCTAACAAAGTGCACAAACCTTACTTGTGGAATTTTTTTTCTTTTGTTTATGTATTCCTTTACTGTTCAGTCACATAAAAGGTTTTTTGAAGCCATGTTGATTTCTGACCCCTTTTTGGGAACAAGGAGAGATCTTAATGTGCAAGATGTGATCTTTTTTGAGATCGCTGTTGGTGCTCTTGTTTTATTGTGTTCTAGTAAACATTTAGAGATTTGAGTTGCAGAAAAGATTTTCAAGTTCTTTCTGTAGTAATGCATGTAGAGGCTTGCAAAGAAGGAAACAGTCAAGACATATTGATAAGTAACTCTGTTCTGTATCTCTAACTTTTTGATAAAGTCAGCTCTGGAAAAGCAAGGTGAGGGCTGGATGTCATCAAGCATAACAATTCGATGACGCAAAGCCTGCTGCTGAGTTGTCCTCTCCTTCACTTAGGTGTTGAATAAAAATCTTGTAATGCTAATATCAAATAGCAGTAAACTGGCTCTGTCTGCTCTATGTATCTACACTTCACTCATTTGAAAAAACCCAAACAAACCCAAACCCACAAAAAAACAGTCTCACCCTGACAACAGAACAGATAATCTGTAATAGAGATGAATAGCTGATTAACACAGTTACACAAACATTTTTTTAGGAATTCTTAGGTTCAGGCATATGGGTGGAAATGTGCAACTAGTCTGGAACCTGCACATGCATAACTTTAGAAGTGAATCAGTGAAACTAAAGGATCATGAGAACAAAATAAAATTTAATCCACCTTTAAGGAATGGCTTTGAAAACAAAGGCATTCATGACATGATAAGAGACTAGGTAAGTTATATATTAAGGAATAGGTTGTATCTGTGTTAGCTGTTGTGTGACATCAGGCAAAAATGGTGCCTGGCAGTGTTGCCTGGGGCAAAAACGTTATATCCTAACAGGAAAACTGGAAGTGTGGGAGTCAGGAGTCATCCTTTTAGTTGGGAGTTACACCCTCTTCAAATGGCTTCTACTGCATTGTTTTTCTTCACAGTGGCACTGAATGAAGCTTGATTTGATGTGCTAGCAAGTTACAGATGCATCTTTTCAACTTATAATGAGTAACAGATGCTTTGCATCTGAAGTTATTTCATCCTGAATGTTACTTATTTGTCATTGTTGAACCGCTGTCCTGATAAATTCATGCCTTTTTTTTTTTTTTTTTTCCCCTGAAAGTGAAAATGGAGAGAATGTCTTTCCTGTATGGTAATAGGAGTTAAGTTGGTTCTTTTCATAATGTGTCTTCACAAGTTTCACATAAGTAATTCCAGGGCTGAAAAGAAACAGAGCACTATTGCTCTGTTGTTAAATCTTTTTACTACCAGTGGAATGATAGAATGAAGCAGAGGTTTTGGGGGAAAAAAAAGTCATGCGGGTTGTATTAGTCTTTTTTAGTCTAGAATTTTCCATAGAGATATAATTTCTGTTAAAAAGGATAATTAAGTTGGTCATCAGCTATGTTGAAAACATGCACTTGGGTACTGATAAGGTAACTTTTACAACATACTTTCTGGAAAATAATTTTAGAAAGGATGGCTGTGAATGGTGTACAGACTGACATCTTTACTAGAAGTGCTTCCTGATGTTTTCTGTGATAATGCTTCAACATTTATTTAGTATTCTTGCTGATACAATTGGTGATTTATATTTATGTGTAATTCAGAAACACTTTTATTACTATTATTATTATTAGATAATGAAATTGGAAATTGAAGAAATTGCAGCCCCAAGGTCATTTGTGTTTCTATGGTGCGGTTCAGGCGAGGGTCTGGATCTTGGCCGAGTGGTAAGATGATGTTTTAATTCAATTTATTAGGGACAGGCTTAAGTGTTTATTTTTATCGTTGACTTTTTCTGTATAGAATTCCCAACTGCAAATGCTGAGAGATGTTTTGTTACTGTGGTAGAAGATGTATAATTTCAAGTGGATTAAATAAATGTAAGTGTATCTGTCATTAACTGTTTAGATACTGTTATTTTCCAGATGAGTCGCTGTGGCTACATGAGGGAGAATAATTCTGTAGTGACTAGAAAGCTGTACTGCTGTCTTGGTTTTGATGTGTGCATGTTGCCATAGGAGCAGTTTGCCATGTTGAGTGTATTTACATCAGTGTTTTTTAACAGAAGTCTTAACAGTTTTCTGCCAGAAATATTCATACTAGTAGAAAGGTGCTACTGTTGCATAAAGTGAAATAAAATTGTGTGTGTAGCACTGCTTATTTTCAGAAAACAGCTGGAGTTTAAGTAGGTTTGCTCTCAGTGAGCTTTACTAAGTTTTACTTCCCTGTAAGATCTTGGAGTTCTAGAGTAATCTTTCCGTGTGCCAAGACAGCACTGCTTGTGCTGGGGATGGTGGAATAAGAATTTCCAATCAGCTCTTGCTATGCTGAAGCATTCTTTGCTTAGTTTGAGCAGTACTTTCTGTTAAAACAGTATGGCATTCGGTAACGGACAACATGTGGTTACTAGTCTGTTTGCTTTATCATCTGCGGCTCATTCTGAGGTTGGTTAAAGTAGCTATTTCAGATAGATTGGTTTTGGTCACGGACATATTCATAGTAGCTGAACAGTTCTTGAACACAGCAATAGCTAAATGAGCTTGAATCCATAATGCCCAATTTCCTCCCTTGCCAAGACTATGCTTGCAGGAGTTAAGGATTAGAAAGTCATGTAAGTCTTTGGGTGGTGTGGGTTTTTTAGGGGTTTTGTTTTTTATAGATATAGGAAAAACCACAAAATGGCAGCAAAGGGTTTTGGCTATTTATCCTCTCAGTGATAGGATTTTACATTGATGTGAAACACTACCAGAGCATTATTAGTGGAGACAGGGCCACAGGTCACTATGTTGTTCAGACTGGTTTTGATTTAACTTAAGTGTCACTGGGTAAAAATGAATTCACGGTTCCATAGGAGATCTGTGCAGTGGTTAGATATTTAAAAAAAAAAGTGACATGTCAATATGTGCACATAAACCTCTTTTTAAAATTTTTTTGGACAGCTTCCCAAACTGTAGTACAGTCATGCCAGTAAACTAAGTGTTTCATTCATTGGTGACAGATTTCTCTTCAAGCTATGCTTTAAGAAAATTCCAGTGCCTATATGAGTGTTCAGTTCAGGTTACTGTAGGTTTTGGTGCAGTGTGAACTGTTTTATCTGTCTGTGATATTTAGTGCCTACGCAAATGGGGTTACAGAAGATGTGAGGACATTTGTTGGATTAAAACGAATAAGAACAATCCAGGAAAGACCAAGACCCTGGATCCCAAGGCTGTTTTCCAAAGAACCAAGGTAAATGTTTGGCTCAGTTTCTCCTCTGTTCCCATCCTGTCTGTTCATGCTAATGAAACACGCAGTGCTCCACGGCAGTTGGTGACGTGCTTTCAGGAAAGCAGACGTGAAGACTTTGGAGTTTTTTTCTGCAAAGTACATTATATGGAAATAAACATGGTCATAGGATGAAAGATGAACTCTGTCCCCTTTTTGACTTTAGTCAGTGTGAGGTATAGAAGCTTTATCTAGATTTAACGCTGCTTGGTAAGTTTCTGTAATAGTCTTCTGTGTGTGATACTCCTTTAATTGTTGTTGAAATGCAGGTAGCTGAGGAGGGTTTGTAGAATGATAGAAGAATGAAATCCTGAGAGGGGAAAATGCAAACTGATTAGAAAATGTTACTGTGCGTTGCAATGTTTCTGACTTCTGTGTTGTTTTAGTTGTGTGTGGATGGTAAATAAGCCATTAGTCTTTTAGCAGTACCTTTTGTGTAGCACCCAAGCTCCTGCCCAGATGAGAGAAGAAAACTTGCTGGTGAGGGAGAACCTTTTGAATGGAAATAAACTTATCAGTAGAATTTGACTAAATTTAGTTTTGAAAGAAGTCTTTAAATCTGTAGATGTAGTAATAAAAAAATAACTCTGGCTAAGGGTTCTAAATACACACGTACAGGTGGGTGCCCAGAGCCTGAACCAGACAGGACTGTTAGGGACCACAGCTCAGTCAGCAGCTCCTGACTTCCTGGAGATGAGTGTAATACACCAGTGACAGAATTGGTCAGCTTGGTTTAAATTAAACTGTTTCCTAGGACTGTGTTGTAGAGGATGTGTATGGAAGAAGGTGCAGAGAAAAGAAGTATTTGGATTTAAGAGACTCAAATGTGTGTTATTAAAAAACTTAGAGTGCAGACAGGATTAATAAGGAATTGTTTTAGCTATGTGTGGGTGTAACTGTGGCAGCTTTGCCAAATACAGAGAGTTGTCTTACAATTTAAAAAGTTAGTGTCATCTCAGGGCTCCTGCCACATTCATTAACCATTTGTTAGTACTGAACGTGCTCAACTCCATCTCAGATTTGCCATTTTTGGGGAGCATAAACTTCCCTTTAAGATATCTGGGATCTTTCTTTGACCTGCATTGACATTAATCCGAAGTTTGTTTGGAAGCGTGTTGTGTTAGTTATAAATATTTATAAGTATAAATATTATATGTTTGTTTCATATAGTATTGCAAATTTGTGCAGCTCGCTCATGAGGGAGAGGTTAAAACTAACACAGGAGGATTTGGGGAGGACTTCATATCTTTGTTTAACGGAGCAGAATAGTTTCTGGTCTTAACAGAATTTCTCTGTTTATTGAGCAAGGGCTGGGCTGAGGTCACTATAATAAACACTGAAAATTGAGCTAGCTTATTCTGACTCAAAAAGTAGTCTGTTGTGCAGATGTATTTACTAATGATAACAGGAAATGCTATCTGCTATGTTTAGGCACCTCTCTAGATGGTGCTTTATGCTGTGCCACCTGTTAGGGAATCTAGGGTACTAAGATTCTATAATATTCTGTATGTTATGAAAATAAAATATTTTGGATAGTTCTTCTAAAGACTAGATTTACAAGGCTTTGCTTGATGGGTAATTTGTTCAGCAGTATTCTGGCTTTTTATTTACTTAAATTTAAGGTCCGAAGACCCTGTAGCTTGGGTGTAGTTGATCAACTACATAAATTGGATAGGTCACCTACTCTGCCTCTCATATTTACTCACTAACTCTTAAAACCCTTGCCAAAAATCTGGAGATTATTACACACTCCTGTCTGCAACTTCTGCAACTTTTTTTTTTTTAGAGGCATCTGGTGGCATTTAGTGAATCAGTGCTTTAGGATACAGGGGAAAATCACTCATCTGAGTTTAATATTCCCAGAAACAACTTTGTAATGAATAAGTATAACCCTCATTTCATCCTGTACCAATTGTAGTGATTCCTCATTCATAGATTCTACATACTAGTCATTTCCGTTGATCTATAATGTTTTAGAGGAAAGGAGAGCAATGCATGTTACAGTTGAAGAGGATTGTTAATGCAGAGGGAGTTGACTGAGAGCCCATTGACAGTTTGATAGTGGTTTTACTTTTTTGATGCAGTGGTATGTTCTAGAAAGCAATCTGAGGGTAAAAGCTACTTTTGTAACAGAGGTACAATGTGAAAAAAAATCTTTATTTTCACTGACAGACTGGTTTATGACTGAGAATTTTGAAAATCATATGAATAAAGTTAGATATCAAAATGTTGATACAAGTATTAACCATAATTAATAACCATTTCCTTACTCTTGCCATGGCCTTGTACTCTCTTTCCTTGTGGTGATTTCTCAGCCTGTCCAACTTAAAACTCTAAATTTGCTGTAATTGAAGGAGTCCAAGTATCTGATCTCAGCCTCTATCTCAGTTTCACCACTTCATAGTGTAGTTCATCAGGCCAGATAGCTTAACCTCTCTTAGTTCTCACAAGGATCTTTTGGTAACTCCAGCTCAGTCTGTTCTTCTAGTTCATGCTTCAGACTTTTTTCTGTATAAGAGTAGGATCTACTCTGCCTGGAATTTCCTTTTCTCTCCATTGTTCTCAAACCACAGATGTCTGTGCTGTAGCAGCATGTGCGGCATGTGACAGGGACTTTTCTATGTTCTGTGTAGGAGCACTGCCTTATGGGCATTAAAGGAACTGTGCGTCGCAGTACAGATGGTGACTTCATCCATGCTAATGTTGACATTGACCTGATCATCACAGAAGAGCCTGAAATTGGCAACATAGAAAAACCTGTAGAGATCTTTCATATTATTGAGCATTTCTGCCTTGGACGACGACGCCTTCATCTTTTTGGAAGGGACAGTACAATTCGACCAGGTAGCTGTTATGTTTATTTTTGTCAAATAGTTAATGTTAATTTACTTTAATAACCTCTTCCATCATCTGAGGCCATTTATGGGTTCTGATGGAAGCTGAGACACCAACGGTTAATCCTAATACATGGTTCTCCTTGCATCAGCTGTATAACTGGGTATTTCTGCATATATCTGGATCAATTTCCCCCACCATGGGATTATGATAAGCCAGGTGAGCTTTCTTGGTGATGTCTCCATGGTGGAAATCTAGTCGGGAGTGAGAAAATCTACTGAATGGAGATATTGCCCAGGTTTCCTACCCTCCCATTCAGATAACTAACCAGCCCAGTGTTCAGCAGCAAGAGGGTCTGCAGCATCGTTTGACAGTTCTCCCAGCACTGGGAGATGTGTCAGCATCCGCGTGACTTCTGCTTTCGCTAATGTTCTGTCCCTCATGATCAAATAGCAAAAACTTTTGGTAGAACTAAAGATCTCACCTAATTCAAGTTTAAATGCCTTTTAAAAAGGGGAGAAGAAGAGGAGGATGACATTAAACTAGATGAGTTTACTGATCTGTTTTGCAGTGTGGTCCCAAAGGGGCAGAAAATGTTCTGGGAAAGGGTCTTGTGAAACCACACCTCGAATGTTCCCATAGCCATATGTAAATGAAAAAAAAAGGGGTGGGGGGTGGAAAGGAAAAAAAAAAAAGCCCTTAGAAATGTTGGACTGAAATCTTAACTTTTCGACAACTGTGACTTTCCTAGAGGTGACCTTTTTGTTCCGTTCAGTGTCTGTCCCCATCACCTGACTGTTCATTTACTGGGAAAAAGGCAATAATGAGTTTGAAGCATAAAGTGTGTTATTGCTGTTGTTGACTCTGGTTTTGTTCCATAGGCTGGCTGACCGTAGGACCCACCCTCACAAACAGCAATTTCAATGCAGAAACGTACTCTTCATACTTCACAGCTCCAAATTCCCACCTGACCGGCTGCACTGAAGAGATTGAGAGACTTCGGCCAAAGTCGCCACCACCCAAGTCCAAGTCTGACCGGGGAGGTGGTGCTCCGAGGGGAGGAGGAAGAGGTGGGACGTCAGCAGGCCGAGGAGAAAGGGGCAGAGAGAGGAACAGAACTAACTTTCGGGGTGAGAGGGGTGGCTTCAGAGGGGGACGAGGAGGTACCCATAGAGGAGGCTTCCCCACCCGCTGATGACTCTTAGGTAATTGCTTCCTACCCCACTCCTATGCCTCATCTCTGAATCTTTTTCTTACTCTTGTTTTTGCTAAAGTGAATTATTCTGGGGACTCAAGTTAGATGACTTTTTAAATTGTTTTTGGTGCAAGCAGTTACAGATAGTCTGCCTTCCAGTGAGCGGCTTGGCACGTCACCTCACCTGGCAGGCAGGATCCTGCCCCTGACAGCACCGAACTCAGCCTCCTGGCGGCTTCTGTTTGTCAAAGCAGAGAGCACCATCTGCTCAAACTATGGATAGGATTGAAGTGAAGATACTTGCTCTTCCCTTACAAAACTTGCAAGTTGTGGGCTTTTTTTTAACTGTTATTTTCTCCAAAACATGGATTTCTCTTCCTTCTTTGTAGGTCCAGGTTTGGACTGACTTGGATTAATATGATGGAATGGGCATGAAATGCAGTTCTGAATTGCATGGCCATAGCAGTCTTACTCTCTTATTCATGGAAGAAAAAGTGCTGTGTCTATATTGACACCTATTTTAACTTCTTTTAAACCAAGGAGCAAATTGAATAAATAGAATTCTATTTTTTCTTATTTGGTTTAAATTTCCCAAATTATTCCTGGGAATAGGGAACAAGTTTATTTTTCATTTGTTGTGTACATGCACTCACTTTTCATGTCTGTAGTGCAGAGAATGGTAATTCTGTGCAGTCGCGTGTTGTGCTTCATGGAAAGCAAGAAGTTGTGCGTTTATATGCAGTCCAGAACTTATACATTGCTCTGGATTGCTTGAGTGGGGATTTTCACCCAGTGTCTGTCTGTAACAGCCTTGTTCTTTGTAGGGATAAGCAGTTTTATTGCAGAGCAATTGCAATGTAAGCAGTAGGAAGACCTCGCTGGAGGTCGTATTGGAAATGTGAGGTGATGGTGTCAGAGTGAGTGCTTCCTGAACGGTGATCTCCTGGATAACGAGGGCACAGTAATTGACCTGAGTGTTTTGCTTTGCCTGTGGGCATTCCGCGCATGGGAAATAGATGGTTGGTGATCAGCTCCAGAGTGCAGTGTGAAAGGAAGGCGGGTTCGCTTTGGTATGTACTATATTTGCTTTTAGCAGAATGATGACTCTGAACTTCCTGGTCAGTACTTGGCAGACTGAACAAACCTGGCGGTTGAAGTCTCAGATTCTTCAGTGTAGGTTTTTGATCATTGGTTTTAAGTCTCATAATGTTTCTCTGTTGAAGCCTAGTTTTTAAATAACTGTCCTGTAAAGTAGTGGATGATTAAACTTGTTATCAAAGCTAATGCTGAAATACTTTTCTTAATATTTTGTGGGTTTGTTCTCCTTGAGGTTTTGGAATGACTTACTGTGGTAAAAGAGCAGGCAGTCCCTGTTCTTTTGGTGCATGAGATCTTAGAGCAGAAATTTTTGTAGGGTCTGGTCAACTTCAGAGCCTTGGTATTGTGCTTAGTAAGGGACTGCTCAAGTGAAATGAAACTCACCTGCTGCTTACAGGCTGATTCTTACTGCCTTGTGTTCCCACATGTGAAGAGTGACTGGATTTGGGGGAGGGGGTGTTCCAGTTCTCATTGACTGTCTGTGAAGTATGCTGAAGACTACTTGGAACAACATTTGATGGAAGTTGTATGCCACAGTAAGAAAACTTTTTTTCCTGATTTTGTGCTAATCATGTTCTTACTTAAAACGTGCACGGTGGAGACACTTAGCCTTAGGAAGGTGGTTTTTGTGCCGGTGACAAATCTTTTTTTTTTCCTCAATTAGTAGATGTTACCTCCCATTTCCCCCTTTCAATTGTATGTCCAGAGCTGATAGCTCAGTGCTTAGGCTACTCTTAACATAGCAGATTAGGCTACACTGAAAAGGAGACTCAAAAATAACCATTTGAGATGTGCATCTCTATTAGTTTGCAGAAGTTGGGGTGCTGCTCGAGACTTCAGTGATTTGGGAAGTTAACTGCACATGATTTTGTAAAAAAAAAATTCTACCAAAGAAATCCCTCTTGAGAAACCTACCTCTGCATGCTCAGTTCTTCCTGCAAAGCTGAAATGGCTGAAGGTAGTGTAAGAAAAAAACCAAAAACTACTGCTCCAGAGAGTGTCAGAACGTATCAACATGGATGGGCCAGCTTCACCAGGGAAGGGTTGTGTATGTGTTGTTAACAAGCACCTTACTTCTTTAATGGAGGCTAACGGACAAGCAAATGGAACTGTCTACACATCCTCTCTGAAGAAAGATACCTGCTGGTCATAGTCTGAAGGTGGTGTTTCAACAGTGATAGCTTGCCTACAAAGGTAAGACAGTGGTGTATGGGTGTGTATACCCTAATGCTTGGTGGTGGTGTGTATTTATGCCTGTGGAGATGATACTTAGAAAATACTGAGACACGATTCCCCACCTCTGCCCCATTATAAGTAAAAACATTTGGTCATTTGTTTAATCACTGTTGATCCGGACCATATCTAAAGAGACAGCTAGAGATGAAAAGCCTTTAATTTCATTACCGGTTGTCAGTTAATTTCTCAGTTGTAACACTTGAACAGAAGGAGGAGGAGAACACTTGTAATCAGTGAACTGATGAATATTTCATTTACCACCAGTGACTCAATTTGAGCATGTTATCCTTAAAGATAAAAAGCCTAACAAGCTGCTTCTTTTCCAATTTTATTAAATGTATAATGCCACCACTCTGATTCGCGATGCCTGTCTAGGTCTTGTGTCTTTCCATCCTGGAAGAGGCTCATAGTACTTTGACTATCTTAGACCTTACATGAAGTGAAGGATTTGACAATTGCACTGACAAGATACTTGGGATATCTTAGCATTTAGCTTCAAAGGGATTTTAAAACATCAGTTAACTGTAAATCATTGTGTGCAAATCCAGCCTTAAGCCTGAGAATTCGGCTTTCTGATCCTGCTGGTTGTAAGAGGTTGGTTGAAATGCTGGATGTGCTGTGTGGGTCAGCGGCCAATGCTCTCACGGTTTTTGAGGTTGTTCCCTGACACTGTATCATGAGCACGGGCTCATTGTGTATGAGCGTAGATATGGAATGCTTTGTTCAGTGGAGTGGAATTTAGGCTGCAAAAATAAAGAACAGTTTTGATCTGAGAATGGAAGTTAAATGGCTAAGATTAATTTTAGAATACTCAGATGTTCTAAAATACTTGGCATGGGATTGAAATATCCAGAATGCACTCTGGGAAAGAATAAACTGACAATTCAAGCACCTTACATTGAAACTATCTATAAGTCTCTGTTTTGTGACCATGGCTTTTTAAGGATATATTGGGTAACAGGAAGTGCTGGATAATGACCCCCCCTGTTCGTGTATATAGTAGAAAAAAAGATTTCTCCTTCCAGAATAAGTAAAGTTGGTGGCAACTGTATTGCGGTAGTAGAAATCACCCCAGTGGAATGTGATGAAGGTCAACTTCTTAATAATGTGGAAGAAAGCCTACTAACCCTTTTCGTAATAGGGTCAGTCCCATGGGTCAAAAAGCCAACAGTAGGCAGGTTCTGTGGTGAAGCATGAAGTAATTTTGAGTATCATTATTGTAGCAATTAAAAGGAAAAATAGAAGCCGAGCTACTGTAAATCTGAGCTGAGTATTACACTCCTGCTGTTCATGCTGGAGGCAAGAGTTGCATTTGTAATATGTCTGTTTGGTAACTGCTGATTGCTGTATCAATGCCTGGCTGTATCTTGGTGCTAGTTTAGCCATTATGATGTCTTAATGTTGGTAAAATTAACTGTGTGAAAGGCTGTCACTCTGATGAATTAGCTATGCAAGTATGAATAGCTTTGTCCTACTACAGCTTTGTTCTGAATAGCAGCTCGGTGCCTGCAGTCCTGCTCACCATAGGCTTTGCCACTACACAGGTAAGCAATGCGTGTAGGCTTTGCTCCAGAATCCTAGCTGTGAAACAGGCTACCCTAAAGCCAGGCGGTGCTTGCGGGGCACTGACCAGGCAGCAGATGCACGTGGTTGTGGTGCAGATATGAGCTGGCCATTGGCAAACTGGATGGAATAAGGTAAGGAAATGGGTTTGGAGCAAGCGTGGCTGAGGCAGGAGCTGGCTGTGGGAGCAGCTCACAGTTTTCCTACTTCTGAGGAGAAACTCTCATTCATTGCAGCTGACCTGAACTTTGTTCAGCAGCAGAGCACAAATGTTTCCCTAATTACACTGCCTCACTGTGTGGGAACTGCTACAGCTTCCCCTTTCCTGACTCACTTGATAGGTGATTTTTCTAAAATTACTGACTTGCTGTAATGTAACTTACTGACTTAGAAAAGTTAGTACATGAAAGAATAAACACACATGTTGTGATTATATTTAATAATTGTTTATGTCTTTACACATGGAGTTGCTGGTGTCATTTTACAAAGTACAGGGATTTGGAATGGCAACAAGTAACTTTTTGCAAGGTAACACGCCTTCAGCTAAAAAGTGCTCCTCTTGGCAGCTGAATTCAGTCCAAGGATCTTTTTGTGATATATCCACTTCGTGTAAGAGTTCTCAGTCAATGCACAAGGATACAACTGTTTTGATAAGTTGTCAAACTAAAAAATATGCATCTTGACTGCTTACCTTTGATATGAAAATTATTAACACTAATTAGCAACACTAGCGTGTTTAAAGGCACTTCTTTTTTCCATGAGGCCCAAGTCTTATCCTTATGTTTCAGGGTTTTTTGCTTTCTTTGAAACACTGATTTTTTTGTAACAATAGTTTTTCAAGTTTGGAAAAGTTCAAGCCTCATGTGCAGAGGCCTTGGTCCTAAAGATACAGCCTGATGAAGTATCTCCAGTAAACACCTCTTCCAAAGACTCTGGCTTAAATTCTGCCTTAAATATTGATAATAGCAGAGGCTTATTTTTGAAGGCAGTGACTGTTGAATACATCAGTCATGTGAGAGGAATCAAGCGAGTCACTGGAATAGAACTGGTGTTAAACAAGAGGCTTTCTTTTCATAGCACCACAAATGACCTTTGGTTAATGTGGCAACTGTCTTAGGGTTGACCTGACAATTAAATTTTGAGGGATGCATGTTTATCTAAGTTGTATTGGGAATATTCCAGTTAGCAAATGTACTAAGTAAAACCTGCCATGTTCAGTTTTGAAAATGTAATTAAATAGTGTGGTAAATTAATTGCTGCCCTAAAGAACAGAGAATTGTGCCATAATAGTGTGGCATTATCTGCCAAACTTAGAATAAGGATTGTCTGATCACTGTTCTTCCTGTGGTCCATTGTTGTTCAGCTTACCCAAGTCCAGTTATAAAGTGAGACATTTTTGTGTCCTGGATAAGCCCAGGTGTGGAAGGTTACTCAGAGCTCTGCTTTTGTAGAAAGTAATACTTGTCCCTTCCAGGAAAAAGGGGATTATTTTTGAGAGATTAGCTTTACATTAAGGACTATGAAGTACTCACCTTGAACTACATGATTACAGCAAATCTGATTCAACTGTATGCCCTCACTTCAAACAAACCGTGTTTTGGGTTTTTTTTCCCCTCTTCTCTGTAGATTTTTAGCATCTTTCCTGGCTCTCAAACAACTTATGGAATAGCAAAGGAATAATTAAAGAGTTTTCTAAATTATATTTTTCTATTTGGAAATGCATACAATATGCTCTTAAGCATTGCCAGTTTGGGATCTGGCAGTTAACTTAAAGAGTCGAGACTCCCAGAGCAATAGTACCTGAGTGCAGAACTTCCTATTCTACAGCTTAATAAGTAAACTAAACACTCAGTGAGAGATCGTGTGAAATGAAACTGTACAAAAAGAGCACAGAAAATGTTCACAAAAGCACAGCAGAATGTCCAGGTATGGTGAAGCTGTGGGCCAGCCTTCAGGCACCAAGGACTGTCCCTCTTGCAAAATCAAAAAGCAAGTGACAAATTATACTTGTGTTTCCTTAACTGAGCAGCTGGCAGATCTCTCTGTGAACACAGCATAGGAAATCCACGTAAGAAGCTCCTCCATAAATACTCTTGTCTTCTATTAGAAGCTGTCGGAAAAGCATCTCTGGCTGCTCCCGTTGTTTCACTATAATCAGCTGAAAAGATGAGATACATACATTGAGGATACAAATGGCAGTACTGTTTTCCTGGATCTGTTTACTATATGCTGTTGAGGGGGGAAAGAAACCCCAAACAAATAAATCTCCACATTTCAGTAGCTGCATTTATGAACACAGGAAGGAGAGACTAGTGTGAATTAAGGTTTGCAGAATAAAATGGTGACCTTTAGACTTGACTACCTCTGAAAATCTCT